TTGGGCACGGGGTATCTCACCTTATCAGAACTTGTCGTGAACGGGGTATCTCACCTTGTCAGAACTTGCCGGGAACGGGGTATCTCACCTTGTCAGAACTTGTTGGGAATGGTGTATCTCATCTTATCAGAAGTTGTCGTGAACGGGGTATCTCACCTTATCAGAACTTGCCGGGAATGGGGTATCTCACTTTAACAGAACTTGCCGGGAACGGGGTATCTCACCTTATCAGAACTTGTCGGGAACGGGGTATCTCACTTTATCAGATCTTGTCGGGAACGGGGTATCTCACCTCATCAGAATTTGTTGGGCACGGGGTATCTCACCTTATCAGAACTTGTCGTGAACGGGGTATCTCACCTTATCAGAACTTGCCGGGAACGGGGTATCTCACCTTATCAGAACTTGTTGGGAACGGGGTATCTCACCTTATCAGAACTTGTCGGGAACGGGGTATCTCACCTTATCAGAACTTGTTGGGAACGGGGTATCTCACCTTATCAGAACTTGTTGGGAACGGGGTATCTCACCTTATCAGAACTTGTCGGGAACGGGGTATCTCACCTTATCAGAACTTGTCGGGAACGGGGTATCTCACCTTATCAGAACTTGCCGGCGAGTAGAAGCAAGCATCATCTCCATTGTTGCCTGCAGCAGTTATCACCACAAACCCTGCTGCATCAGCCGATGCTATAGCTTGGTCGAGTGATTCCACCTTGGGTCCACTTAATGCCATCAAAATAACACCTGGTGTAATTCCATTAGCAAGTACAAAATCTAAACCTGTAAATATGTACGATACGACATTGAAATATTCGATTATTATCAAAATACATACACTGTTGTTACAGACCAGTCTGAAAAATTTTAATGTATACGTAGTTACTCATATTGTAAATTCCAATATTATGTGGTATCCAGTTTTAATCTAGTGAGTAACGTCGCGTTCGTTTATTTTGTTTTCATTCATTCATTATCATTAATTGATTAGGTAAGAAACATTTTGTTTACTAACTAAAGATTACCAATGATAACGTCACCAATGTAAATTATGAACAAATATGCAAATGAACGTTGTTGAAACTATTTGTCCATTGTCGTCAATGGGAGTTCTCTCCCACAATGCATTGCAGATTTGGTGAGTTACCTCAAAGATGTATAGTTCTAACCTGCTAGAATGTCCGACAATCTCCCAGCGTTTTCACAGTTTAGAACTCTCACTGAATGGAGCTTAACTTTAGTGGCCACACCATATGAATGACTACCGATAATACCTGCCATTCGAGTTCCATGGGAATTACACAACTTTCTGGTAGACTGAAAAAAACGTGTTGATTTTATATAAATAATGAAGATATGATGTTGTTATGGTTTTAATTTAATATACAACCATATCTTTGTCATGAATGTAGAAATATAATGTTGACAATAGAAATCCAACCAGATTCAAAAGAATATTAACTTTACATGACCGTGACCCACTCAGCTGACTATTTTCCCACCTGCGTATCATAAAAATCGGTAACTCTTGTATCAAATTCGTTATCGCTGTTTCCTTTTGGTTGTCTTATCCCCGTATCCAGCACGTATACATTGACGCCAGTGCCATCGCCTGAAGTTGAAAAATAAACATAACCATATAATAGGTTGGAATCAGAGCGGTGGTAGTATTTGTGTCATTTCGAGTTTGCAAAACAAATGCGTACCATATATTTACACAATAACGTTTCAAAAAGATGACTTGAACGTGATCGAACTTTTGATACACGTGATTTATATTATAAATGGGACATATACGAACGTGATATATATATATATATCACTTATTGTATCTGTTGATTTGTGTGACTGTGTGTGTGTGAGTGCGTGTATATTTCCTCACCTGGTGGATCGTAAACACCATTGAGTGGAAGCAGCCTCTGGTCAATTCTATCTTGTCCCCACGATATGTCAGTGGCAGTCATAATAACCTGTCTTTCTACGTATGCTACCCCAGTCAGTTGCTTAAGCTAGACAAATCACATGAATTTAATTATTTAGGAAACCACGCTGTACCTATTGTGACAGAATTAATTATACTTTCAGTCGAGGCGAAAGACGGACTAAACCTTGAACCAACTCTTACGTACAACATTTAATATAATTGCACCAGTAGATGCTACTTTTAATACAAATATATTGAGGTTGTTATTAGTTGTACTCACTCTAAAACACGGCCACGCAAACTCAAATACTTAAATTGCTGCTGATACTTACTTTAGTTCACTGCTTCTACAATTTCGTAGGCAAAAACCAATCGTGACCTGCTATTGTTAGAATCACTTTCATATTACCTATCTTCGTGATGTATTGTTATGCACATTCTTTCAGAATAAACGTTCAACTTTTATCCAAGACGCCGAAAGGAACACAGCAAATCTCACGAAGATATCATTTCCACGTGTTTAACACAAATTTAACAATACACGTGGTGCTTGGTAGATGACGTTACCGCACGGCGGTTTTTGACATGCTATTATGTGTCGAAAACTCTTATATTGTAATTTTCAAACGTTTACATTTCGATTTTAACTAATAATTAGAATATTTAGATTTGTAGCTAACACGAGATCACGGAGTACGCGAGATCGTCAGAATCTGTAAACGATTAATCTAATCGGGAAGTCTATGCTATCACAATCTTGCAAAGAAAATAGCCCATATATAATGTGCATGTACAATTACTGTGAAATAATTAAAGGCATTACATAATGTAATTGTCCAACAAGAAGACAATTGCAGTTATCACATAACCTTTGACATGTATCTGGAGCTGCCATCAATTTTTTGCTAAAGCAGCGAAAGTAAGTTATTGTTAAGGAAAGGTACACTAATTAATGCAGATCGACATAAAACTAGTCAGGTATTTGTTGCTTTGTACAAATGTTTATATGTTTATATTAACAAACGTGAAATTAATTGATGATTTAATTACCTACGCTAATAACACATTTCTTCTATAAACACTACTATGTACATAACATTGGTTGTTGAAGGATATACACCTGTCTTGGATATACTATCATCATTTATATTGTATTGAGTATAACATGAAACAAATATATAGTAAAGAACTTCTAATTCTGTTTTTCGTATGCAATTATGCAATCATTGATGTATCTCTTTGTCGCATATGCACCAATAAGGCACACAAGTCAATAATTGCATACCTCTAACAAATAATTATTTGAAGTAATGTTTAGAAATGATTGCAAAACACCAAAATAAAAAAGTCGAAGGGTTACAGAGGAATGTTATCGAAATTGCGCATGCGCACTTTTTGATTTTGATTATCTTCTCTGGAGACTTAGCTAATCATACATCCCTTACCATATCAGTCATACAATTTGGAGTCATTAAATACAAAGAATCTGCAGATATTAATGTTACCACATGTTGTATTGCTAATATGATCAGAATTATGGGAGTGTATAGCTACATACATTCTGTATTCTAGTATCGTTCACTACTGGGGATTGAAAATGATAAATAGGTAAATCATATTAAACATCGATAATATATAAACATATGTGTTTTATATAATGGGTAATTGAGTTTGCTCTAAGAGTTAAATATCAAATAAGGTAGAGATGCAGTTTACCTGACAGGTATGTTAATTAGTTAATTAGGCAACCAAGACACTGGACACTGCAGTTTGAAATATGCACAAAAATGTGATTTAAAAAGAAATTAGCTTCTAAACCATGTCTCTGTTTCCTGTCAAAATTGGTTCACGGGTATATCTGTTTACTATGAAGAAAGTGCCGTCTTGAAAACTGTCTACCAGTTGTCAATTTTGCTGGGCAGCAGCTCAAATTTCACTAATTCAGGCTAGTTATCTGTACGATTCTTGTAACACTGTTCAACTAAAAACAATGCCGGAAGGCATTTTGAAGATAAACATATTGTCAATCATTTGTGAAAATTTCAAACGAAAAGGTCAAAGCGTCTAAGCGCTATTTTTTTTAAGTTCTGGGATGTGCACTAAAAAGAAGCTGAGATAATTGCTAATTTGCATATTTTATAGTTAAGTAAAAATATATGCTAATTTACATCACTAATGATTTAATTTCAAATTTGTACAGAATACAGATGTTCGTACAATGCCATAAGAAATAAAGAAAGTGAAATTTCTCAAAATTTGCAAAATAAACTGCATCTCTACCTTAAGCCAACCTACTTATAGGAAGTCTTCAAGAAAGGTAAAAAATAATTATTAGTGTTTACTAAATATAGAGAATTGAAGATTCTTGAAAGAATCTGTAGCGGATTACTCAACAACTTCGTCTCACAAATTTAAGCGGATCTTTGATGTGTTTTCTGTGTATCTCAAAGTTCATTCTCGGTCGCTATTTTCTAGCAAGTAATATCATTTGACGCATTTATGCTCAACTATTACTATCGCAAATCGCATGTATTTGCATGATGTTTGTTTGTATGTTTTTTTTCGATTCATCGGTGACTATGTACCATTTTTGTATTAAATAAATGTTATAAAAATAATTACTGCTTTTATAAAAACACATCTAAACAAACATTATAAGAATAAGTAAAATCAAATATTTGTTCGATAATACCTACAAGCTTGATATGATATAAGCACTTAACATCTATTCAATATAATGATATAAGCACTTAACATCTATTCAATATAATGATATAAGCACTTAACATCTATTCAATATAATGATATAAGCACTTAACATCTATTCAATATAATGATATAAGCACTTAACATCTATTCAATATAATGATATAAGCACTTAACATCTATTCAATATAATGATATATTTATCATATATTTATCGTTACGTAATTGTCTAGCAAATACAATGATGACATCATTTGGCAACAATTCTAACCATGTATGACATTTGTGTGTCATATCACATAAACATTACAGATTGTCATTTATATGTGGGACAATGCGGAATGTTCGTTCTAAAACTGACGTGATGAACAATGAAAGATACATGGCACTAGCTAGAATTCATATAACAATTTCCAAGTAGTACAAATAATTATTATAATAAACTTGTATGTTGTTGTCGCCATTAACATTTCCCGGAGTATATTAATTGGTTTTAACCTGTTTCATATCTAAAATATCTCTTTATATACGCGATTCCGATGAACATACAAACAGCTTTTGACTTGAATTCAATATATTTCCACCCACCCACATCGCTCATTAACAACAAATATATGGACGTGTAATTCTCACTCTAAAACAAACATGTACAGTTTGTTCGTAGTAGCATTTATCATGTAAAGATGCGTGTATGTACGTGTGTATGAAGTCACGAGCAGACCCAACCAAAATTGTTCTATTTGGCCTATACAACTCTTGTACTAAGTTCAGTCAAGTATCACGATCGCACTTGAAGTTAAATTGAAGTTAAACCATTAGACTAACCATTAGACTATTCAACTACAAAACAAATGTGTCGAGCGGCGGGCGCGTCTGAAAGGAGAATGGAAATAATTCAATGTATTAATTGCCAGGTGAACAAACAATTCAAGAATTTGGATTCATTACTTACATCTTGTTCATATATTTTGTCAATATTAACGGAAAAACCTTTCAGAATTGTGTATTGGTGGATATTTGTGGCAGATTCTCCAGCTAGATTAATCAATTCGGCAATAGCGTTGTCACACATCGATTTCGTTGAATCATTCTGAAAACATATTAACTTACAGTTATACAATTAATCGGAAAGACACATTATCACTAACTAAAACGTTGAAAAAGCTGTGATGATTCAAGAAAACAGTCAACTTTGATCAGTTTGTTTCATTTCAATTGTGTATTATATCTCCACGATTTGTTATCCTTATTAATAGATTCACTCATATGTAATGGTTTGGAATGAGACATCAAGCTACGCAGCCAAAGTTTGAAAATCAAAATAAAAAACATGTGATATAGAGGAAAGAATAACTTACCGACATAATCACTAAATACTCGTCGGGAACTATTAAGGACTCACTTGATAATAAGGTATATACGAGGACTGCACATAGCGCCTGTACAACGACTATATACTTCATTGTTCGTCGCTGTAAAAGTACAGAATACCACAAAATCGGATCACATTGATCGTTTCTTTATAAAACAGTCTGAACTTATGTATTACGATCTAATTCATTTG